GGTCCTGAAGACCGGATCATCCAGTAGTTTTTATGCTAAAACTAGTCGGGACTCGATCCAACAGTAAAGGAAGGAACAATGTAGGAACACTTTTGGTAAGACTTTGAGACCGCTAAGCTATTTCAGTCAGAGTAGGTAGAGTCAAAACAAAAACATGACCAATGGATTACTTGATTGACAGAGAAATAATCACCAAATATTTGTAGAATCTTTAATCATTTTATTAAAAATGTCCAAATAAGACATTGACTCAAACCTATGAAATCCAGGATAGAAATCTTCCCATTATTTTCTGACATTTAAGGACAAAACGATTATCCAAATAATCGAAATAACGATGCGCCAATTGATGTATAATAAAAATGATCATGAGTTGCAGCCCTTCTACAGTGTTAGTATTTTGAGCGCAACATTCGTATGTGTTTTAGTGGTTGTCAAAGCAAAAAATAACATGTCAAGAAAAGTTTATAATTGCCAACCTATGTGAGATACTTGAACGGGAAGCTCAGATAATTACATCCCTGTGTGTCCGAGCTGACTCTTCTGTGATTGTAAGAGAGACATGACAGCATTAAGTATTTAGTCTGTGGTGAGAAACACGAGACGGTGAAATGCCATTGTTACGTGACTCCAAGTGCTTACACCCTTCCGTCCGTTTCCTAAATAGAGTAACATTTTAAAGGGAAACCACAACATTTCTGTTTGCCCTACGGGCCCTTTCCAGTGGGACAAAGAGCAGCCTTGGCTTTTGACAGCTCCACAGAAGGTCCGACTGCCACTTCCATAAGCCAAAGCATTTTCCTCTCCCTTAAGGCATTTTCCTTCTTGCATCAAGGTAGTGTGGCAGTTGTTTGGTCACAAACGTGCACCATCTTCTGCCTCTTTAGATGCCAGGCATTAAGGGATTAAGACCGAGCAGGTGAATCTAAAGGATGTGTTTTTCTGGAGGGTCTTTCTCTACTTTGACTATCAAGCTTTTGTATATTTCATACAACAAAAAAAACATATAGCTTTGATCACAACTAACCACACTAATGGTGAAACTCAACTTTTATAAGATGAAAGAGAATGCAAAGAAAAATAATTTAAAAAACCTTTGGCAGCAGATCCAAAGGAGTGATGTTTTTTTTCTGCATTCTACTTTTTCTTTTCAGGATTATGAAAAACAAACAGATAGCCAAAGCGGTGATATCAGTTACACACAGGTGAGGGTGTGTCTTTGACACAAGAGCCCACAGTGTGTTAACCCATTGCAAAGAAGTGCAAAGTGCCGCCAGAGTGGCAATTATCTGTCACACACGACATCCCCTGTGCCTCTGTGTGTATAATTATACTGCTGAAAATGACTACAAAACAAAATACCAATAACCACTGCTTGGTTTGTACAAAGGCACATACTTTTCATACCAGACAAGCAAATGGAGACACTACCAAATACAAGTAAGTTTACCTTCCTAATGATGTTTATCCTAGCGGTAAACACTTTAAAATGTGACCTTGGACGACTAACATGCTTCAAAGTCAGCCTCACTAAATGACAGGTGGCTAATATCTCTGAAACAATAATCCCATCTCCAAGTCCTGCCAATTAAGACTGTTGACATGCTAAATGTCCCTACAGAGAATCAGGGATGAGGGATCTAAATTAATCTGACTAAGGCACAAAAAAAGGAGCCTCAAACAGAGCAACACTGATGCATTTCCAGCTAATGCACACACAAGGCCATTTGTGCTAACAGAAGGGAATGTTGAAGTAATATTCCACCAGGATCTCCAATATTCACTGTATATTTATCTACAGAAACTTTGTAAAACATTCCCAAAATTCCATACATCATACCGGAGAGATCTTTTTACACATATTGCAAGATGAACACATTTTTTGGACATCAATAACCTTGTCCATTAGCGCCTTTGATATCTTTACAATCTGGAGGGTCCATTTATACAATCAAATATCAACTTTTCATGACTTCTTCCTAAAAAATGTAATACTGGTGTACTCCGGTTGTATAACTAAAGAGATACAAAATGCTATTAGAGTGTATATGGTTTTAAAATAGATTTATCCAAATTCTGCTTCAACTTAAATTGATGAAGCCGAGTTGCAAAAATGTGGCTTTTGCAAAAGGCCTGGAAAAGATAAAAACTGTTCCATCATTTCCAAATTGATGGACGCCCTGAGTGTAAGTATTTCCTGTCGTTTTTAACACACTTATCGAATTTGCAACTAGAATTTGGGCTCTGAAATTCACCTTAGCCCGCGCTTCACCTTCACTGTAGGTTTGAAACTGAACCTGACCGGAGGAAGCCGAGAGAGAGGCACTGAAAGGCAAACAACAATGTTCCAATGAAATACGAAGCCATGTCATATCCTAACCTCGGGCTGGAGAAAATGAAGACTGACAGTACTGATGTGAGGGCGGGCCCGCAGATAAAGGGACACCCAGGGTACGCTCAGAGGCAGACCCCTCTTACATCACTCAGCGTCTTAGAGCTGGAGTCTGCAATACTCTAGGCAGCATGAGGAGGGGAACATTTCTCAAATACCTGAAGGATATTTACACACCTGCTCAGTGTGAGGTCGAGCTGCACAGAGGAGTTGGAGCGTGGCTCTGGTTCAGGCCACTGAAGAAACAATACAACTTTAACCTGAGCAACAGTCTGACTAACACTATTCAGGGCGAAACTAAAAATGAACTGTGTAAACATTAGCACATTCTTATCCAAACTCCAATAGGTGACGCAGGGGGGGGGGGCAGATTGTAGTTGTGATACAGAATGCAAGTTCAGGACTATGGTGATCAGTGTCACTTCTAAACAAAGGTTGTTTGACTTGGCATTTGCAGCAGTTGGAACGTTGAGGGTAAGAGGTAGGCGGGGCTTCGGCCTAAGGCAGGGGTCTGCAACCTTTTTGACCAAAAGAGCCATTTTGCTCCTTTTTCCCAAAATTTTTTTTGTCTGGAGCTGCAAAACATATTTCATAGGTTGATAGCTTATAAAGTTGTATTTATTGTTATATCAGACAAAAACTACAGTTTTTTTGCATTTATTAGGCTATTTATTACATTATATAAAACTGTTAACCTCTAATAAGAAACAAAGAACTCCTATAAGGAGAATTAAAAATAATACACAGGCCTACTTTAACATAAATTAAACACAGCAATTGGGGAGTCCTCTGCACATTTGAAGGAAAACAAATATATAATTAAAATGGGCCCACTTTGAAATAAATAAAACATATAGCTGCACCCTAAAAAGAGTTAAAGGTAGGGTAGGTAAGAATGGAGAAACCAGCTCGAGTGCGCTAGAATTTGAAAATACACAACCGGAAAAAATATGCCTCTTCCTTCAGACTTCCTTACAGAGTCCCTCCTCCAACACACACGAACGCGCATCATCAATGAGGCCACGAGATAAGTTTGTGCACAGATGGAAGGCTGACAGGCAGGTTGGCCATCCAGTTACTTTAGCCGGCCGGCTAAAATGATTGGTCGTGCTTTTTACAGCGCTACGGCTTCCAGAGATTAATTTTTGTATGTATTTATTGTCAAAGCATTTAATATATTCATTGCTATCGGGACGTTAAGAGCATTCCATGGAATATAACAAAAAGTGTTTTCTGAAATAAATTACATACCCCATTGAATTAGGACTGAAGATTGTCAGCTGTCTTCCTCTCCCGTGTTGTTCCTCGATACGTAAAGGCTGCAGCACCGTTGACAACTTCTCTCTACATATCAAACATACCGGTAAACCAGCATCGTTTGCTGTGAAAGCAAAGAATTAAATCCTGTGTTCCTCCGGTACTTTTCTTTGATTTATCCATAGTTCGCTCATTGAGCCGGGGGTCAGGTTATTCGCCTCCAAGAAAAGGCGCTCGCGCGGGACCGTAGCAGGATGTGACGCATATTTTAGTTGACCTAATTAAAACCGTTTTGTTTTTTATTTATGTGTCACAGTATCACCTCAAAATACAAGATACGAAACATTTTCAACCATGCAACAAAATATAAATAGTCCTACAAATACTTTTATTTTATTTCCTTCTTATTTTTGTCTAAGCTCAAGTGAGCCAGAGCAGAGGGCTTAAAGGGCCGCATGCGGCTCGAGGGCCGCGGATTGCCGACCCCTGGCCTAAGGGCAGGAACCTGCAGTGTAATAAGGGCCTTTGCTAAATTATAGACTAAAAACACTATTAAGAAGAGTTCAATCTAAGGCTGAGGGAGAGGTCACCCATTATACTAATATTCCTGAGTCACCGAGCAAATCCCTATCTCTAACGTCAACGCTAGGCTCCACTTATTCCAGGCATTCTAAGTGTCTCTGCACACTAGCTCACCTTTGTTTATAGCTTCGAAAAAAGCTTTCAGCAAGGAAATAATAACAGCATTGCAGTCTGCTCGGTGCATTTTTAAGATACGTAGCACAAGAGGAATGTAAAAAAGGGGTCAAAAAGGGGGATGTGCTGGTGATGGTTTTCCAGAATAGAGGGATCACTATGAGGAAAACTGCACATGTGTGTCTGTCAACAAGCACTTCTTGTTTGTATTACATGTCAGAAAAAATAGATCAAGCATTATAAAGACCAACAGATATCTTGCCAGCTCTGAGACAATTCCTCATTACTTTCCTCCAAAAAGGAAATTGGTACTTTAAAAATAAGCAGATTATTAAGCAGAAACATCTGCACTTTTTACTGCAATTCTTGAAACAATTACGTAAGTCATGCTTTTGTTCACACTATTACCGGTTTATTAGATACTCCTGCAGGTAGTCCCATCCTTCTGAAACGTATTCATGACAGTGTGTCTAAGAGCCCTTGATTACACTTAAAGGTCAAACAGTGAAAAGTAAACCATGTTCCACACATTATCGAGGACTTGTGTTGTGTTTAGGCCTACGTGTGATGTGCAAAGAGCCAAAACAAAACAAACACTCGTGTACGGAAATAAACATGCATGGCCTTGTGTGATCTCCCTCTGAGGGTAACTGACCTGGTTGATTGTGTTGGCAGTACAAGAGGCGAGGCCTATTCCCAGAGAGGACACGAAGAAGAGCAGAGGGTCAAATGGCACTGGAGCCATGGCGAAGCCGGCCGCTGCACTTGTAACCACCAGCGCTGAAAAAAAACAAACAAGCAGCAAATTAAACCAGCATTTAAAAGTAGAATTACTTCCTAAAGTCAAAAAACAACACACAGTGCTATGCTTAGTTTTTTTGTAGAAGCCTAATTATATGTAAACAGAAGAAGCTAGCACAATATGATCTGTTTTAGTGCAAAAATGTAGTATTTGTATTCGTTTTAAATACTAATTAAAGTCAGTTTATATGGGCTAGCCAGCTAACATGTCTTGATGGAGAAAATCAGGTCTTACCCCATACAATAGCAAGCCCTCAATTAAATAAATAGCTCTGCATGAAACTGCCAAAATATTTACTTTTTGATCAGTATGTTGCCGGTAGAAGCATATTTCTAGTATGAGAAATATAGTATGCTCCAAAAAACAGGTTGTTTGGAACATACTCATCATACAGGTCAACAGCAGAGAGGTGTCGTTTCCAGTGACCAAAGCGTCACACAACAAAGGTCTGCCCAAAAATTGCACACTAATATGCTATTGCTAGTTTGTGTCATGTAAAATGGAGTAGACAGTGTGGTCCGACTGTATAGTATGTGGGTTGAGTACTGAAGAAATGTTTGGATACATAGCACATCAAGAATTACTTAGTATTGCCCCTTTCACACCAACGCGGTTCACGTTCTAGCTCCGTGCTAGAGCTTTTCTGGTTCGGAACCGGTTTTTATTTTCAGCCCCCGTTTTGTTCACACCGCCAGAGCTCGACTGGTGCTGCCGCTGCTGCGTCATGACGTCACCGTTTACGTCGCTGATTTTGTCCCCAACGGCGTTACAGCGCTCACTACAACAACAATGGGGGACTGCGTCTGGTAGATTATCGTGTTGCTTTTAATCATACGAAGCCAGATTAAATTAAATAACAACTTCTCCAACCATATACTTTTCTGAGTGCCTTGGTTAATTGTTTATTAATGTGTTTCAGCAGTATTTACCGACCGCTGCAGTGCTGCTCCTCCACTGGAGTTTATTCTCCCGTTAACTCCAGTAAAGTATTCACTGTCTGACTGTCACACAAGCAGCTGATACATATCCCCAGTTCCCCTTAAGTGAATGTGTGTCAGTCTGAATTGACGCTGTTTGGCATCAAAACGCTGTTATGAAAGTTTCTCTGGTATATGAATGAATGGGTGATGTTAGCATAGCAACCGAAGCTAAACTGACTATCTTGGCTACTTGTTGTTGATATCCTATTGTGGCATAAGTGTTTTCTACAGGCACATTTTACTGGCGTATTTTTCATTATGATTCTACTTGTGATAGTCGGATATGACAACCTGTGCAGCCCATGTATTGATTCCATCTGATAGCTGCTATAATACAAAACGTCTGCCTGCTCTCCACAATGATCAATAACAGCGAACGGATGGTCAAAGTAAGGTGCAAATAAACAGAATCACACAAAGCTTGGTTAGTGTTGCCTGACTTTATAAAGTGCGGTTTTTTTTTTTATAAGTGTGTGGTCGCGTTCTAGTCACTTTGCTCAGCGCTACTGCTTGTTACAACTTGTGTTTGCCGTACTTGCCTTTAACTAGACCGACAATGTTTTGGTGCTTGAAACTAACCGGATTCCGGAGCTTAGAGGCGGCTCCGCCGCGGTGTGAACAGGAAAAAACGGTGCTTTTCAGGCTCTAGCTCCAAACCGGCCCTGGAACCGCGTTGGTGTGAAAGCCCCATATGAGTCTCTTACTGGACTAAACAAACATAACTGCCCCAGAATGCACTGCAGCTCTTTAGACTGTTCAATGACAGACTACGAGGCATATGATTTCATAATCAACCTTGGAAAATATTAAATTGAGTGGGAAAGGTGATGTCAAATTTCAAAAATATTCCATTAATGGTAGCTTGGACAGTAACGTTGTGGTAGTCATGTAATGCAGATAAGACGTATCGCATGAGTTTACTCCAGGGTGAAGAGTTCGCTGGTGGTAATGGAATTCTTCATCGCTAATTAAATATGCAGTACAATCAGATTGAGAATATAGTATGCAGTAAATTAGTATGTGATTCCCCGCACATCCTGTATTTGGTATTACAAAGAATACACTGTGTTAAATGAGAAGGTACGTTTGTATATGTAGTAATGAAGATGCATTTTAGGTTATTGCTTGCATGCATCCGCCTCCTAATGTAAACACTTCATATTATATGACAGAAAAGGTCATGTCATTTACCTGTGAGTTTGATTTTGGCTAGCTTGGCGTAGACATCCGGCAAGTCAGCCACAATGACCTTGAGCTGCTTCCACTGTCTGTCTAGACGTTCCTCCTTTGCTTTATCCGTCTCCACGTGGACATGGGGAGTCTCATGGGATGACCCAACTGTACCGGACACAGAATCTCTCTGTTCTGCTGCATCTTCTGTAACGGGCTTCAAGGTGGATATTCCAGGCTGTGCTTCACTGTTGACATCTTCTGGCTGTGACACATTATGTCTCTCTGCAGGATCAATAGTTGGTATTCTCTGCACCTGTCTTTCAATGGTGTCTTCCCTCTCATTCACTATGGTCAGGGCGGGAGCCTGCTTCGGGATGGCACGTTGGTGAAGCTCATTGTTGTTCTTTGTTACATACTGAAAGGAAAACCAGATGCACAAGGTGATGGATGGGATCATATATTGAGATGTACTATAAAACGGTATAATAAACAAACAATTATATATTGGGCCCAGTGCAAAATACCTGGCGTTTCAGGAAGGTCAGGTGCTGGTACGTCAGCCAGTTTGATGGATCCCTTCTGTGCAGCTGAATGAGGTTACGAGCACTCTGGTTACATTGAGGAACATTTAGGACTAATTTCTGTTTAACACTTAGACCAACCAAACCTAAAAAAAAAATTAAAATGCAATGTTTAGTCACCAAAATAAATACTGTTGATTTAGTTTAACTCTGTTAAACCAATAAACACGCATGAACAAAGAAACAAGACAAAAAACACGGATCAAATCGTATATGCAACGTCAAGTAAGTATGATAACACTTTTGGGGAAAGCGAAATTGCCTTCAGTAACTAATTGCAATGAAAAGTGGAAAGGGTGAAAGTATACAAGTCCAATATAACAATAGAGTGCAAATAAGGTGCATATTTTATATATTAAAAAGCCTAACTCAGGATAACATTATTAATCATACAAATATAAGCAGACAAATAGCTCTGACTAATCTAGGTTGGGTTGCATTATAAAATGCATGTACCGTATCAAATCTGAAGTATAGGTAGTGTAAGTGTGCATGGTAGAAATAGAAACATTGGATACAAAAAGACAACAAATAACATATATGACTTTAACTATAAGCAGCATACACAAACAATGTGTTGGGCATAAATCAGAGCATGATCATACCAAAAAAGACTACTGTGCATTATACCCAGTTTAGGCCTGTCAGATGTTATCAGTTCAATATCAATACAGCTATACTCTTCCGATTGGCACTTCATAAGTAGAGATACAGCTAATAATACAGGGTAAATACACGCATGTTCCCCCATCATATCGTGACAGGTTATAAAATGGGTATCAACATTGCTATGAACCTTAGCTTTTCACGTTGTTTGCTAACATACGTTTTATATAAAATAGCCAACATGTTGTCGTTATCAAGCCAGTCAGTCATAAGTTAATTTCGGTGTGTGCAGATGCAGTTGACTTCTATTTAAGGTCACTGCTCACCTCTTGCAAAACATCTCAGGTGCTATCCGGATAGCTATGTGCTAGTTACGATTCCGCTTCCGCCTTAGCTTCAAAGGTTACATTTAGCAGGCGCAGATAATTACAACTTCGAAATTCAGCTGTATGCAAACCGAAATATCACATTGCCTCTTGTGTTACCTGACAGTCTGCAACATGGCGTTTTATACATGTTCTCCACTCATTAAGCCGGCTCTTGTTTCGACCCCTTCACATGCAGCGAGCAGCCATTATGACCTCGTTGGATAAGGAGAAACACTTCCGGGGGACAAAACGTCAACCAGTCCCGCGTGCTATGTGCTGAGCTCTTTCAACAGGCAGAAAACTATAGAAAAGAAGAACCATCAAAGTAACAATAATATGTGAAATAATCCTTTTTTAAGACTGTGTAGTAATAACATACACTTTTGTCAAATGTAGATACTTTATACTGCTTAAAGAATAACGAATAATAAATAAGTACATTTCATTTAGAATCATATTAAAGAAATTAAAGAAATAAGACAGCAAAAACAACGAGTTTTCTAAGGGAATTTAATATAAATGTCTAATTTCACAGACTTATATATATTAATATGTATTTTGATTATATTTCACTCATTCTGAAGCAGAGGAAGATAGCTAATTCAAGAAGAGTATTAAAGGTTAAAGGGGACCTATCATGCAAAATGCACTTTTTTATGTCTTTTATACATAAATATGTGTATAAATATGTGTCTCACGCAGCATCAGAAAATAAAACCCTCTCTCTTTTCCTCCGTACCCAAATCTATAAAAACATGGCTGCAACGGAGCTGATCCAGATTTGCGTCCGATATGACGTAATATCGGAAATGTAGGCTGGCTTTACACCCACGGTCCTATCAGAAACGTTGCTATCAGAAACAATGCCCGACTGTTTTGGACGTACTATGGTCGGTGTTTACATTAGCATCGCTAACACTCAGAGCTAACCTGTACTGGAGAGCATGTGTGTGAAGAAGCAGGAAATAAAAAGGAACTCACCTTGTGGTATAACCGGCAAAAGAGAAAGCCTTTGAGCTCCATACTGTTTCAGAAATAATCCTTGATAATCCATGATATGGCATTTCATCACCGCAGTATCTGCCTGTAGCATCTCCCGCATGAGCTCAGCCCCAACCTTGTTTTTTTTTATACATTTTTTTTTTTAAAGCTTTATACCCCAAATCAGCACTTTTGAAACAGGAAGTGAAATAGAGGGATATGAGGCATGGCTAGAATGGGTGATCTGTTTGGTATTTTGAGCAAAACACTTCATAGACATGTTTTTGATATATTTGTATATATCTGAGACCTGTGCTATTGCCTAAAAATAGCATGATAGGTGCACTTTAAATAAAAATATATAACGAAAGTAAAATGTATAGGCTACTTCCTTTTTTATATTTTCATGCTACTTACGTCGATGCCGGTTCGAACTTCTCAAATGTGAAGATCTGCTAAATATCCCATTTGATCATTTAAATTAGCAATATAAAACATAGCTGAAAAAATCCTTAGCAGTATGATACTAAATAGTTCAAAAATAAACTCAACCTCAACCTAATAAACATTTTACATTATACATAAGTGATTATAATACAATTATATAATATGTAATAGTAGCGGTCACAGGGAACATCTTACTACCTTTACATTGAATGCTTTAAGTCATTTTCAATGCAGGACTTTTTACTTGTAACAGTATTTTAACAGTGTGCAATTTATACTTTTGCTGTTTTATATTGTTCTACTGCTTGTAGCACTTCAGGATTTGTCTTCAAATATGAAGTGCGTTACAAATAAAACTCATTATTACTTTTACTTCAGTAAATTAAACTGATTTAAGTCAACATGACCCTAACAGTGTGAAAAGACAATTGTGTCCCTATCGTATTGTAATGATGCCTTGAACTACTTAAGTTTCAAGACGAAGCCAATGTATTCCCAGCAAGGCTTTAAATGTACATCAATCAGTTCAGCTGAATCAAAGTAATGTGAAAAGAATCCCTGTTTAGTTATAAGAAACACCGCTTAAAGTTATACATTTTTTTCAGAAGTCAGGTTACCAGAAAACCCCTTTCACTATCCAGTAAATCTGAGTTGAAGACAGGATTCATTTAACTCAAAACTACCGTCTAATTCAATGTCTGGCCTTTTGCCTCCTGCCCTTGTACGTCCTCTGACCAGCCCCGCTGCTCGGCCTGTTATTTATGTGTATGATCATCTTGTTGGCCCTGGCTGCCATGGCCAACAAGATGGAAACCTTCTGATTAATATCCTCTCCACTGCTTTCACTTTGCTGCCTGGCTTTATTCAAACAAAGATAATGAAACAGTATGATTGTCAGTGTTTCATTTCCTCAAACAATAACATTTTACAGATGTAGGAGGAACATTATTATGCTGCTCTGTTTTTAGAGGTCATATTCTATATACGGGGAAAACAGAGCAACATAGGGAATCTAGCAATTGTCATGCCATGTGGTTCATTGTGTGGTATTTAAAACACACAGAATCAAACAACATGTATTTCTTGTTTTATGGCTATAGTGTACATATCCACTGCAGTAGCATCCAATTCTCCTGATTCCTCTTGTTCATTCCCTTCTACTGCCCGCTCCTCCCCTGCTAAGATTACATGGTATAATCTCCATGCACCATCAAGATGCAGGGGATAGTGAATGCCAACAATACAGACGAGGCCATCCAAGATCCAGCACAAGCACCTTTATTACAGGAGATAACCATTGTGTGCAAGATTTCATTTCGCCCTGACCCGGTCAACCGCTTTAGCTATGGTTCTGATGTGAGTGCTGAAAAAGAAAGTGTATTGCTTGGTTTTACACTATATTATTTATCTCCCCGGTAGTGTTTCAGTGTTCTTCTTCAATTTACTTCTCCAAGGCTGCAGAAATACAGTCTCTGAGTGTAGGATCAAAGTTGCCAAGTTTATGGCTGTGCAGGGCACTGCGTCAAACCATAATCTTTTGTATAGCAATCTGTAAGCTACCACTACATATGACTGACATCCTTAACAGAATGTCAGGGCCTCACAATAACAGACAGGCTCATTCATAAGTGTGCAGCTGCCACTACGCTTCTGGACTGGAATGGAATAATATTTGTTTATTGCATCAAGGAATAGTTTAGCCCCTGCCAATGAGTGTGAGCTGGACTTGCTCTGGGGAATTAATTCCATGGTATCATCCGTAGCCCTCTAACTGGCCCATAGGCTGGCGGTTGAAGCTAATGCATTTTCGCTATATACTGTAATGTTGTGTTTACTTGAGCGTTCCTTACAAGTACATATTTGATTTAAAGGTGGAAAATACAATTTTTTATTGAGGTTTTGTGGTGAAGAACCACTAGGCAAACTGACACCTTTTTATGTCGGATTTGTTGTTCCTAAAGTCAGGAAGCTCTACTTGTTTGGATGATTGCACGATGCAGTCCACTGAGTAAATACAAAGACAAATTGGCTTTTAAAGCCTTCTGTCCATAAGGTGGACCAAAAGACAGGACCCGAATAACAGATGGACAAAATGGAGAGGAATGGCCCGGTAACAATAGGAGGAGATTGCAAGGCCTGTTTGACCCAAAGGGCTCTTTTCAAGGATCTTTACAGTTATTCTAACACTGGTGGTCTCAGCATGTGGGTGTTTTATCACGCTTCTTTCACTGCATCTTGGAAAAAAATGAAATGGCTGTAAACGTCCTCTCTAGAGAGAAACAAAAAGACACAAAAGAAGAGGAGCCTTGTATTGTGAGATGGTGACGACATGTGGTTTATCAGAGTAAAAGCATTCTGATGTCAGCCAGACAATGCTAGTCTTGTGGTGATGTGTAGTTAAAGGATGGATTTAAAAGTGTTTTTTTGGAGTTAAAGTAAAATATAACTAGGCTGGTAGTTCTTATAAATGAAAGGTCTGTCTTTTTTCTACAACATAACAAATGAACGCTTAAATGCATTGTTATCTTTATTGTTATTCATAATAATAACATATTTAACTTTCATAGAGAGCAAAGACAAATCCTTCGAAAGTGGTAAGCAGATGTCAGTAAGATTGATGGGTACGCATAGTGTTAGGATCTCTGGTTGTAAAGTTTACTGTGAAGTTGCTCTGCCGAGAGGAAAACGGGTCTCTTTAGCAATTTCAAGGGTCCAGGAATTTACGCAGTTTTCTATTTAAAACACAGCTCCCTGGCACTTAGTGGTGAAAAAGTTACATGTTGAATCAATTGAAGGTAGCACGGACCCCAGGTTGTGTAAGCAAACTGCTGAAGGGTCATTAATAGACATTAATAAGCAAAGGCCCTATTACTCGCATGCAAACAGCCCACATATGGACTTCGCAAAATCATTTTTAAGCTACTTTTACAAGTCTCACGCTGGGGAACGAACTAAGAACATATAATGAGACACCCCCCCTCCAAGGAAGCCCCAATAAATGGTGGTCAAATAACAGAGGCCTCCAAGACCTGTCATCACCCCAGTTCATGTGCTGTGATTTACAAGCACTGTCCCACAGGCTTTAGGGCCATCACTAATCCCACAGGGATGACCATCTGAACGGCAGTGGAGTCAGACCTTCTAAAAAAACAGAAAGAGGCAGACAGTGCCGCATAACTCCAAGCAGAAACAGATGCAGAGACGCTCTCCTGTTTATAATTGATTTTCAAGGGCAACATCTTGTTGTCACAGTTTGTCTAATGAGCCCCTGGCTGGCGCCCTGTTGCTCGTCAAACACGGAGCGTCAGATGTAGCAGCCACCCACTACACTTACCCCCACTGGGATGGCACCACGCTACTTACCCGTGGAATTTCCCTGTGCGACCGACTGTTGCTCTCTTTTAAAATCTGACTTCTTTTAAAAGATATTTTAAGCCGGGAAGCATTCAAAACCTCCAAAGGAAAACTGTTGTCCTGCCCCTTTCCATGGACAACAGGTATCCTCAAGCCCTATGGCCGCCAATGTTTATGTCTGAGATCACGGTTGTCTTTGTGGGCCTCCAAGGCTAAGCCTCTAATTGGCCATGGCTCATCAATCATACAGAGCAACCCCTTTCACCCAAAGTCTCATCCAAAGAGCTAAGAGGAATGGGACCCATGGAATGGACTCTATGCTTCCCAAAGACCTAAAAGTAGGCTTTGGGAGGGGCAAGTGGTTTGTGAGAAAACCACACTTATTCCAAGTTGATGTAGAGCAATGTATGCGTCTGTCCTTTGTCTCCGCTGACATGCTTCAA